GTCTGACTCTTTGTGGCCCCATGGACTGTACCTCGACAGACTCCTCTGTCCGTGGAATTTTCCAGGCAAGACTACTGGAGTGGGTTGCCATTTCCTCCTCCAGGGAATCTTCCAGACCAGAGATCGACCCTGTGTCTCTTGTGTCTCCTGCATTGGCAGTCGGGTTCTTTACCACTAGTGCCACCTGGGAATGCATGAGCTGGTACATCGGAATATTTTACATACTCCTAAAATCCCAAGTGGCTGAACCCATCTCTTTTTTCCTAGTTTGGTGTGAAACTCACAAGGATCAATGTAAGCAGTTTATTCATAACCAAGCAACAAAACCATGACAAGAACAAGCCCGCTGCCCAAGTGGGGATGGGCCATGTCTCCTTCTGTGTACAAACTCACCATACTGCAAAACTGTTGGCTTGTCTCTCGAGGTGAGAAGCATGTCCTCGGTGTTTGCTCAGAGCTGCTTCCTGCAGGCAACTCAACTCATGTCCCAGGACGGGATCAGAAAGGGGCGAGACGCGTCTTCCCGCGCTAGGGAGGCCACCTCAGTTTTGACCAAGAGCCTCAGGTCTTGGTAGCAGCTGCCCTCGGTGGAGCGGCCTTGGTCGGATTACTCAACCTTCCATCTGGAAATAGGAGACAGTTGTGGACCTTGCCCCCTGGGGTTGTTAGGAGTTAACACAGGTGAAATACTTCAAACGCTGCCTGGCTCAGAGGAAACATTGTGAATCTTCACCATCCTCCCCTGTGCTGAAATGGTCATGGACGGGGAAGTGGTTTCCTCCAGGGAATGAGGTTGCCTTCCCACCCCACCCCCCAAATTTATAATAACCCACACATAGCATTGCTGCAAAGCTCTGCTGGGTGTCCATACCCACCTCACACACATACACCTCACACACACACACACACACGCATGCACACCCACCTCACACACACACACAACTCACACACACACACACATACCTCACACACACCTCATATACACACATGCATGCACACCCACCTCACACACATGCATACACACACCTCACATACACACGCATGCACACACGTACACATACACATCTCATATACATGTGTACACATACCTCACACACATGCATACACACACCCCTCACACACACCTCATATACACACATGCATGCACACCCACCTCACACACATGCATACACACACACCTCACACACACCACATACACATACACGTGTCCCTTACACACACAGCTTGTGCTCACACACACACATCTCACACACACATACACACACACCATGTGCACACACACCACATACACACACATACACGTGTCCCTTACACACACAGCTTGTGCTCACACACACACACACACGTGCACACACACACTCCTCCCCTGATGACCTCCTCACTCAGTGGCTCCTGCACACAGTAGGTGCTCAACCCATGCACCTTGGCTAGAATTAATGTAACTCTGATCACCTGGGCAGGAAGGAGCAGGCTTGGAAAGTCATCCCTGGCCTCTAAGGCCAAGGACAATGCAAAGACTCTGGACTCTTGGATTCTTCTAGAAGCTCCCGTGGGCTCAGAAGCGACTTCTCCTCCTCCTCGCCTTCTTCCAGGAAGCGATGCTTCTCTCTCCCCGGCAAACCCCAGGTCTCAGGCACTCTCCACTAATGTCAGGGCCAGTTTGAAGTTTGCTCTGTTCTCAGCCATCCTGGCTGGGAAGGTTTTTACTTATTTTTTTAATAACATATTAACTTATTTTAACTTTTTCTCTTTAAATAAATGCATACTTACAGAAGAGTGGGAAAAACAGTACCAAAATTCCCACATACCCTTCACCCAGATGCAGACCTGTTATTAACATTTTGCCCAATTTTGCCACATCATCCCTCTTTTTCTAGATAAATATATAATTTTCCCCTGATCTATTTAAAAGTAGGTTTTGGATATCATGCTCCTAGCTCCTCTGTCCCTGGAATTCTCCAGGCAAGAATACTGCAGTGGGTAGCCATTCCCTTCTCCAGGATGGAACCCGGGTCTCCTGCATGGCAGGTGGATTCTTTACCATCTGAGCCCCCAGGGAAGTCAAATATTCCCACATATATCTCCTAAGAACAAGGACATTCTCTTATGTAACCGCAGTGCAGTTATCTGAGTCAGGAAATTTGTCACTGATAGAATATTATTCCTGATCACCAAGTGCCCCAATGAGGTCTTTATAGCATTTTTCTCCCAGTCCAGCATCCACACCAGGATTGCATGTTATATTTAGTTGCCAAGTCTGTTTGGTCTTCTTTCTTCTGAAATCTTTTGTTAGCCTTCTCTTCATCTTGAATGACAATGATATTTTTGAAGGGCATAAAAGAGCATGACAGTTATTGCCAGAGAGTTGTAAGAGACTAGTATAAAAAGCTCTACATAACCTTCACCGAGATGACCTGCAATTTGGGTTTATCTGAGGTTTCAGATTTTGAGGGGAGAATAAACACTTAAGTAACCTCCTCACTGCCTTCCATCTGGAGGCACATGATATTCATTTTGTCCTTTTTTTTTTTTTTATTATGTTGCCTTTCAGTTTAAGCTTCATCTTTTAATATGTCTGTGGGCCATTTGTATATCATCTTTGAGAAAACATCTATGCAAGTCCTCTGCTCGTTTTTAAATTGGGTTGTTTGTCTTGTTATTGAGTTGCTAGAGTTCGTCATGTATTCTGGAGACAGGACTCTTCTCAGATACGTTGCTTTGTCAATATCTTCTCTGACTCCGTGGGTTGTCTTTTCACTTTTCTTTTGATGCTGTCATGTTCATCATGATCAAGTGCAGCTTATCGATGTTTTTTCCTTTGCTGCTTGTACTTTTGGTGTCGTATCTGAGAAACTATTGTCAAATTCAACATCAAAAAGGTTTTCTTATATGTTTCCTTTTGTAGTTTTTGCTCTTACATATATATTTTTGGTCCATTTTAAGTTAATTTTTGAATAGGTCTAAGGTAAAGATCAGGCTTCCCTGGTAGCTCAGCTGGTAAAGAATCTGCCTGCAGTGCAGGAGACCCCAGTTCGATTCCTGGGTCAGGAAGATCCCCTGGAGAAGGGACAGGATACCCACTCCAGTATTTGGGCCTGGAGAATGCCATGGACTGTATAGTCCATGGGATCACAAAGAGTCAGACACGGCTGAGTCACTTTCACTTTCACAAGGTAAAGATCACAGTTCATTCTTTTGTATGTGGCTCTTCCAGTTATTGAAAAGACATTCTCCTTTTTAATATTTATTTATTTATTTGGCTGCATCTGATCTTAGTCGTGGCAGTTGGAATCTTTGACCTTCATTGTGGCATGTGGGATCTTTAGTTGCAGCATGTGAACTCTTAGCTGAAGCATGTGGGATCCAGTTCCCTGACCAAGGAATGGAACCCGGGCCCCCTGCATCGGCAGTGCAGAATCTCAGCAGTCTTAGCCACTGGACTACCAGTGAAGTCCCGAAAAGACATTCTTTCTCCCGCTGAATGCTCTTGGCACTCTTGTTGAAAATCAGTTGACCACAGACACATGGGTCTAATTCTGGAACTCTATATTTCTCTTTTATTGGTTTCTATGTTTTTGCTACATAAGTACCACACTGTCTTGACTATTCTTTTGTAGTATGTTTTGTAATCAAAAAGCAGGAGTCCTACCTTTTTCTTTTTTACAAGAATTTTTTCACTATTCTGGATTAGTACTCGCTGGGTTGGGAAGATCTCCCAGAGAAGGGAGATCACTCCATGGGGTTGCAAAGAGTCGAACATGACTCAGCAACTTTCTCTTTTTCACTTGGATTTAAAATAAATGCTGGGAAGTTTTGACTAGCAAGCATATTTATAGTTGTTCAGTTATCTTACTCTTTAAATATTTAATTGGTACTTGTGTCTATGTTTGGGCTTCCTCAGTGGTGCTAGTGGTAAAGAACTCACCTGGCAATGAAGGAGGCATAAGAGTCATGGGTTCGATCCCTGGGTCGGGAAGATCCCCTGGAGGAGGGCATGGCAATCCACTCCAGGATTCTTGCCTGGAAAATCCCATGAACAAAGGAGCCTGGTGGGCTACAGTCCATAGGGGTGCAAAGAGTTGGGCATGCCTGAAGCAACTTAGCAACAGCAGCAGTCTATGATTGTGCTCATCAGTTTTTACATGTAAAAAGATAATAGATAAACAACTAGATGAATATAGATAGACAAATAGATTAAAAGAGAGAAAATGTATTGAACTGTGCCTATTCAGTTTATGCATACAGAAAAAGACAGATGAAAGATAGACAGGTAGATAGACAGACAGAAGGAGAAAATGGGTCTGCAATGTGCTTCTGGACTGTGAAACAGAGGTTTGCACACATGGAGGGGGATTTGCAGGGCCAAAGGGTACTTTGACCCAGAGTGCTTGCCTGGTGGTTGAACCAGTAATAAGTAACGGAGGTCCAGGGCAGTCCTTGTGGCTTTGACTCCAGTTAGGTAAATTAACTGGAATTCAGAAATCCCAGAGATTCCAGAAGACAATGAACCTTGAAATCTGTCCCCCAAGGACCTTCACCCACCCCACCCCTTCTGCCCCGGCATCATGCTTCCCACAGTATTTCCCAGGTGGGCGGACTCCGGGGCTCTGAGCCCAAGAGGAACCCACCCAAAGGGGATTATGGCTGGAGCTCCTGCTTTGCCTGTAACTATTCTGCCCGTTGTTCCTCACCACCTGCGTTCGAACCTGGGAGGTGCTGGGCTGAGTGAGAGTGTGTGTGGCCTGGACCTTGGTTGGGCAGCGTCCAGTAGAATAAAGAGGAACTGGCCTCCGTTCTTTCCTGTTCTGGGCTGGAGGGCCCACACCTCCTTACGTTTGGTGATTCACTAGGAAGACTGACAAGACTCCATGATGAGACTCATCCTAAGATTTATTTCAGCAAAGGATGCAGAACAGAAATAGGAAGGAAAGATACATGTTGGCAGAATCCCCAGTTGTCCAGCACAGGGCCCCCTGCCATGCCTCTTCATCTGAGCCCACTCAGGACAGACTTTGTCTCCAATGGAGAACTGCAGAGTCACTCGTGGAAAAAACCCGCACCCGTCTGAGGGTCCAGGTGTTAACAGGAGATGGGTCACATAGACACATCCAGCTATCAATCAGCCACAGCAACTGAAATTCCAGGCTCCAGCAATGAAACCAGGTGCACATCATCAGTCTTGGCGTTTGTGCAAAGCTTCGTGACAGGCCAGCAGGGCATGGTCCACTGCTCCAGGCGAACACAACACCATCCATCACTGACATCACAGGCCTCCTGAGAACTACGCTCCCAAGGGTGGGCCAAGGATTGGTCTGGGCTCCAGGTTTCCTTGGAGACACACAGGGAACAAGCAACCAGACTTGCTGCGTAGGTTCTTCCCAGCATTTTAACATCGTTACACGGTCATCAGCCACAGTTTCAGGTGCATCTAGTGGCTTTCCTGGTGGCTCAGACGGTAAAGCATCTGCCTGTAGTACAGGAGACCTGGGTTCGATCCCTGGGTCGGGAAAATCCCCTGGAGAAGGAAATGGCAACCCGCTCCAGTAATCTTGCCTAGGAAATCCCATGGAAGGAGGAGCCTATGTAGGCTACAGTCCATGGGGTCGCAGAGTTGGACACGACTGAATAACTTCTCTAGAGGCTTGGGGCTTGGAAACCACTGGGCCACTGGCTCCATCACTGCATCCCCAGTTAAGAGGAAGTGGGAGAACGTGCTGGAAAAGCAACCAGACGACCTCCTTTCAAATCGTGTCATCTTTCCAAGCCCATGATCGCATGTGTCTCATCCAAGGGGATGTTTGTGAAGTTGCTCTATTAGGTGACCTGCCATGTCACAAGTTTCTACTCTCCCTAATCGTTGCATTTCTTCAACATCTGTCTTTCTGCTTTGGCTCCTCATTTCTGAGAAGATCCAGAAATCCATAATCCCCACTTAAGACTGATTCAAGACATCAAGTCTTCAAGTCATTTGTTGATCTCTTTTTAGAGGATTTAGCTCAGCTAAACTTACCCTTCCCCCCACAACCCAGCACTCTTTACTTGCACAAAAATCTTTGTTCCTTTTTAAAGAAGTTTGTAAATCCAGTGTGTTCCATGTATTAGCAATATATTACAATACTGAAAAGAGTTCATTTACTGGCAAGAGGGCATTCATTTAGCAAATATTTGCAGAGCATTTCCAGTAATAGTCATCCTTTTTTTTGGTGACTATTTATTAGATGCACATTATGTGCAGGGCACCATGTCTGGGTAGGGATTCAGGAGATGCTGTGGATTACAGACCTGAGGGTCCTGCTCATGGAGATTTCCATCTGTCTGCTAAGTAGGATGACCAGCTGCCCCGGTTTGCAAAGGACTGAGGGGTTCCTAGGATGCAGAATTTTCCGTGCTATCATTGAGGAAATCCTAGACAAACTAGACAGGTTGGTCACCCTACTGCTAAAACAGATAACTACACAATGAACCTCATGGTTAATTACTCCTTTGAACTGTTGCCAGCACTGTGAGGCTTCCAACAGAAGGTCTACACTCCATGAAACAGCCCTACCAAAGACACTGCGTCCAATGTCCCCAAAGAACACCCCCACCAGCCCCCACACCAAGACAGACCCAGCCTTTCATGGCCACCACAGTCTGGGACTCCAAGGCTATTGCCATGGAAACCAAGGCCAAAAGCTAAATGTATCAAACCAGGGGGATAATCTAGAGAACCCCCAACCCCACCAAATCTCCCTGCTGAGGCCACCGCCACCATGAGAGCTCCCCTGACTCCCCACAAGGTGAAGTAGGGCCCGGCAGACCGCTCTCCACTCCCCAGAGCAGGAAGCCCTTCCGATGAAGGGTGACTTTCAGCCCTCTGCTCTGCAGATGCGGTGAGTCTCCTGCTGCTCCAATGGCAGAGAAACTAAGGACCAGGCTTTTGTATGAGGCTCTCTTCCCTGGGGTGTGCTCCTTCCCAGGAGCCTCCTCGACTACCCTGCCAGGCCCCCTGGACTGGCCCTCTCAGGGGTGGGTGCCAAGCAAGTCTGACACTTCTCTCATGCCCCAGCCCTGGGCACCTGATATTCTTCTGTAAACAGATTTATATGCTTTATAATCAGGAAGAAAAAGGTTTATTTTAAATAAGCAAAAAAAGCATGACTTCTCTGGTGGTCCAGTGGTTAAGACTCTGCACTCCCAATTCAGGGGGCATGGGTTCAATCTCTGGGCAGGGAGCTGGCTCCTACAGGCTGTGACTAAAAGATCCCACAAGTCTTGACTAAGACCCGTGCCACCCAATAAACACAAAATAAATATAATTTTTAAAAGAGATTCTTATTTTCCTAAAATATACACAAGTTTCCTGTTTCCACCCCCACTGTAGCCGTAGCCACAGAGAAGAAGTAACGTTACTGTCTAACCAGTTCACTCTGTCTTGAATTATTTATCAATTTTAAGGTGAGCTAGGAAATAAAATTAAGATGAGTTTGGGAAATAAAATCTGGACTTCCTTTTTTCCTTCTTCTTTGCCCTGTGGGGTTGCAGCCTGGCTGGCTTCCCCAGTTGTGGGCTAAGCTGTGCACCCACCTCTGGATGCCTTCACAGCTGTGCTGACCCCAATGCTCTGCTTACAACGGCTTTGTCTCTTAATCCCCAAGTTTAGGATGGAAAACACTGGCTGTTCTGATTTCAGGAGGCCCGCACACTGTTTGCAAATCACCTGGATAATCTCCTGAAGATGCCTGTGAAGTAAATGCCGTTCAACATGTTTGAAGTGACCCAAATCCTCTGGGGAAGGGAAAGGCAATCCACTCCAGTATTCTTGCAGGGGAAATCCCACGGACTGAGGAGTTCAGCAGGCTACAGTCCATGTGGCCACAAAGAGTTGGATGCGATAGAGCCACTAACATACACACACACACACACACACACACACACACACACGGGAGAGGCTGTGACGGGTTCTGGTCTATCAGGTTCCATGTACGGACCAGAACAGTAAGGCAGGCCTGGCCCCAAGGAGCACTGTGAAACTGCCACATGGCCCCAGGAGTGCATCGATTTTATTCACTCAATAATCATGTGAGATGTAGTGCATGCCTGGCCTTTTGCCACTAGTTGGAGACGCAGAAAGAATGAAACATAGACTTCATATTAGTGAACACTTTTGGCTGAAGAACTGGGGCGGTGGGGGGAGGCTCATAGCATCATGGAAGGACTCCAGGCCTAGCTGGGCCTCAGCGTCTGGGACTAAGCCGACTCTCTCCAGAGCTTATCTCAGCCTCTGAGTTCACCTTCTCCTACCCCAGCCCAGGCTCCTCCTCCAGCAAGGACGCTGGATGCTCACCAGCAGAGGGTAACTGCATCAGCGGCTCCCTCCCAAATTCAGGAATCTCAGGGAAGGGCTCTGATTGGCCCAGCTGGGGTCAGGTGCCCACATCCAATCAATCAGTGGTGGTCATGTGGGTGGAGTCTGTAACAGCTCCCATTGGCACCTTCTAGTAGGAAGCGCCGGAGAAGGCAATGGCAAGCCACTCCAGTACTCTTGCCTGGAGAATCCCATGGACGGAGGAGCCTGGTAGGCTGCAGTCCATGGGGTTGCCACGAGTCGGACATGACTGAGCGACTTCGCTTTCACTTTTCACTTTCACGCATTGGAGAAGGAAATAGCAACCCACTCCAGTGTTCTTGCCTGGAGAATCCCAGGGACTGTGGGGTCGCACAGAGTCGGACACGACTGAAGCGACTTAGCAGCAGCAGCAGCAGCAGTGGAAAGCACACGTCCCAGGAGGGGGCCGTCTCCCACTCTCAGCAGAAAAAAAGCAATGCCCACTCAGCGCTGCTCCAGCAACATCCCAGCCTACCCGGGGAGAGCTTCGGAGGCCTCGTGAGGACTTCTGTGACAGCCGCAAGCACGAGGCTTCTGTTAGTGCGAAGTGTGAGTGTGTCTCCTTCCCACGTGGCTACCTGGAAGGTTTCATCCAGAATTTGCCCAATGGAGTGGTGAAGAGGGGTTAACAGCTGGCCTTCCAGGAGGGGCCTGTGCGAAATAAAACTGCTGATGTTTAAGTTCCCAGTCTGCGGTGTTCCGTTAACGCGGACCGAGCAAAGGGATATGCCCCTGAAATGAACGCAAAGACGGCTCCCAGCCAACGGGTCCGTGGCCTCACGGTCTCATTCTTTGTTCGCGTCTTGCTCCCTGAGGATCTGAGGGCCAGCTTCACAGCAATGCTGTTCAGAGGACGTGAGAAGCCGTCATCCTCCAGGCCTTCCTGTCCTACAGGGAAGCAGTTTCTCAACAGGGAGGGAGGTTGTGGGATGAGCTCTTTCTGCTCAGTCTCTGCTCCTAGACGAGGGTGAGGCTGGGGGCAGTCACAGCGGGGACGCGGGTATCACCCCCAGTGAGCATCAGGGAGGGTCGTTTTCCTACAACCCCAGGCCAGCCTGGTCCCTCTCACCTGCCCCTTCACCTCGGAGACGTGTGTCCAATGCCACCCCATGTTCTGGGGGACCCTGGAACCCCAAACCCACCCACGAGCTCCGGAGCTCAGTCCTGCTGCTGCTGAGTCCATCTGAGCACTCGGCTGGAGCAAACCTGCTTGGCTTGAGGTGGGGAGATGACAAGGCACCCAGGGTCCAGCATCTCGGAGCATCCCTTCTCTGGGATGCAGGCTTGGGGCTCAGGCAGGAGGCTCATTGATTTCTCTTCCCCCCACCCAGCCTCGGCCTCTACCTGTCCTGAAATCCAGCGTATAATCTTCCCAGTGATACCATTTCCAGGTCACCTGGGGAGACAGCCCTCTCAAGACAGTTGTACCTACTGGGGTTGTGGGGTTTCCACAAGCATGACAGGAGAAAGTTCCCTAGCAAGTTCACTCTGATCTTGTAATTTTTATGACTGTATAATTATATATGTTATTAAAGTTACCTCTTTATTCCACCTTCATTTCATGCCCAGTATGTATGGTGTCTGAAAGCATGTGTGTTAGATGCTCAGTCATGTCCGACTCTTGCGATCCCATGAACTATAGCCTGCCAGGCTCTTCTGTCCATGGAATTCTCCAGGCAACAATACTTGAGTGAGTAGCCATTCCCTTCTCCAGGGGATCTTCCTGACCCAGGGATTGAACCTGGGTCGCCTGCATTGCAGGCAGATTCTTTCCCATCTGAACCATCTGTGCTAAGCACTGTGCAAAGGGTGAGTGATTGCGTTTTGTTGATGAAGGCAAACCAAGTCATGGCATCTATAAAAAAACTGTGCTATTAAATAAAATACAATATGGAATACTTTTTGTCATTAAGCTGATGCTGAAAGGCTGGAACCAGGCCGGGTCGGAGCACTGCCAGGAAGGGCTGCTCTGAGTAGCGCTCCCTGAGCGAGGTGTCTTCCTGCCGCACCAGACACTTCAGATGAAACATTCCCACTTCTTAAGATGACCGACCCTGCTTTGATTTTCAGAGCAAGTGTCTCAGGGCCCTGGGGATTGTGTGATGCAACCCTCTGCTTGCTCTCTGTTTACAGTTTCTGACAAAGACGTAATTGCCTCTTGTAATTTGGTCTGATTGCTTTTCTGACACCCTTGGGGGGACTCAACCCTCCTGTCCCCTGGGGTTGCTGGGGGTGACCACGTGGGCGGGGAGGCGGGGCTTCCTGAAGCTGCATTTGTATCTCAAGTTTTTTTCTCAGAAGGCAGCGTGGGTTTCAGGTAATGGGTATGGAGAAGGCCAGGGTTTCCTGGGTCTCTAATCTTTGAAACCTGTAGTAAACCATTTATTGGCAGCTAATCCCATGGACGGAGGAGCCTGGTAGGCTACAGTCCATGGGGTCACGAAGAGTCAGACATGACTGAGCCACTTCACTTTCACTTTTCACTTTTATGCACTGGAGAAGGAAATGGCAACCCACTCCAGTGTTCTAGCCTGGAGAATCCCAGGGATGGGGTCGCACAGAGTCGGACACGACTGAAGTGACTTAGCAGCAGCAGTAGCAGTATGCCCATCATCGTCTTTCCTTCTGGGAGCCGCTGCCGATCTTCCCCTAAGGGCCAGGGGGAGGCCCCCTCCTCTCAATTCTCAATCCATTTCCTCTGATGCTGGAAAGTCAGGCCTCCCAACAAGGCTGCAGGGACTACCCCCGTTGCCCCTCTGCCCCAGTAGTCATGGTTTCAAATGAGGAGGCGGTGGGGAGGGGGAAGGGTCTAACCTAACACCTGCAGGGCCCTCTTAGAGTGGCTTTCCAGGAGTTTCTAGCCAGCATCACACACCACCTTCTACCAGCTCATTCATCTGCCTGTACTTAAGGATCTTTTAAAACATTTAAAACAATATTAACAGTAAGGAAATTAACATTTGTTTGTTACTATGTGCCAGGCACCCAGGTAGCACTAGTGGTAAAGAATCTGCCTGCCAATGCGGGAGACATGAGAGATGCGGGTTCAGTCCCTGGGACAGGAAGATCCCCTGAAGGAGGGAATGGCAACCCACTCCAGTATTCTTGCCTGGAGAATCCCATGGACAGAGGAGTCTGGTGGGCTACAGTCCATGGGGTTGCAAAGAGTCAGCCACGACTGAAGTGACTTTGCTTCAGTGGATGCAAGCACTGTATCAGACATTTTCATATACAGCTTGCTCAGGCAGCGTCCTTGGCCTGTCTGTGCCTCAGTTTCTGTCCAAATGGACCTCATAGTAGTCATACTCGATCAGAGGACTGTTGTGATGACTGAAGTTACACACACAAGATGCTCAGGACAAAGGCCTGGGACAAAAAGGACTCAATAAACATGAGGAGTTACATCTTTCACCTCCTTCTCCTCATCAAGGTGGCTATTTTAGCCCACTTTATAGATAAGAAAACAGAGGCTCGAGGAAATGAAGTAATCCTTACATGCACTTCTGGGGGGTGGGGGGCGGTGCACGGTGTGTGGTCCTGCAGGAATTCAAACCAGACCAGGCTCCTTCTCCATGCACGCCATCCCTCCTGCCCAGTCGCTCAAAGCATTTCTGAAATCTGGAAAATGACTATTATCTCCCTGGTGTGTTGTCATCATCGACTTTCAAATTCTTCTGTGCAGACCCGGGGCTTCCAAATGGCTTTGAAATATTTGACATCCAGACCTGGAACAGATAGGTATAGAAGTCTCCTGAAGCAATGCTTCCCTGGTGGCTCAGATGGTAAAGAATCCGCCTGCAATGCGGGAGACCCAGGTCTGATCCCAGATGGGGAAGATCCCCTGGAGAAGGGAATGGCTACCCACTCCAGTATTCTTGCCTAGAGAATCCCATGGACGGAGGAGCCTGGCGGGCGACAGTCCAGTGGGTTGCAAAGAGTCAGACATGATTGAGTGACTTCACACTTTCACTGTTTTATGCAACCTGGTATTTCTCTATTCGGTTCTATTTTGTTCCATTTTGAAAAGCTGGTTTCAACTTGACCTTCAGTGGTAGTTTGAAAACCAGCAACCAGGCAAGTGAGTTTACTCTGAGCAGGCCTGGCCAGGTGTGGTCAGAGTGCTCCCTCTGGGTTACCTGGGCCTCGGCTCCCTGAGTACCAGCCTCTCCCCGAAAGACCCCAGTCCTGAGACGTGGGGTCCTGGAGCTCCTGGTGGGCACTAGAGGCAGAGGGAACGTGAAATGCAGGAAGCCAGTCTCCAGGCCGACAGGCTGGTCTGGGCCGTCCAGCGTCACTCAGTCACGTCTGAGAACGTGTTCCTTAGAGTTTCATCCATTCAGTCATGCTTAGTCGCTATGTTGTGTCTGACTCTTTGTGACCCCGTGGACTATAGCCCATCAGGCTCCTCTGTCCATAGGCTTTTTTCAGGCAAAAATACTGGAGTGGATTGTCATATATTTCCCCAGGGGGCTCTTCCCAACCCAGAGATCAAACCCGCATTTCCTGTGTCTCCTGCATTAGCCGGGGGAAGGGGGGGTGTTCTTTACCTGCTGAGTCATCAGGAAGGCCCCACTACACCCCGGCCTGGTCCAGTGTAACCGCCCCGTGTCCCCCACGCCCTCCCTTCCGTGGCTGGAAGCAGCCGAGAACAGGGACCTCGGAGCCCATGTGGAAACAGAAGGGCCTTGAGTCCCCAAGTGGTGCTCAGGCAGACACCACCTGCTCATCAGCGTCATTCATTCTGATCCTCACACGAGTGAGAAATAGACTCCCATGACGTCTCACTCACATCGCAAGACTCACTCACACCACAAGGCCACTAGCAGACAGCAATCACTCCACTACACAAAAGTTCTCTCAATCTCTCGCCAATTTCAAGGCAGTGGAACTAGATGTTCTTAAACATAGCCAATTTCACCAAACAAAAAATTTTCCATTGAAACGGAAGATAAATGTACAGAGTTGGATGGTGTCTCCCCACACTCATGTCAACCTGGAGCCTCAGAATGGGAATTTATTTGGAAATAGGATCCTCACCGACGCTGTCAGCTTAAGTTGATGTCACCCTAGGAGAGGATGGTGTCCTTATGGCAAGATAAAAGTTCAGACACAGAGAGACACACACAGAGGAGAAGGCTTTGTGGAAGAAAAGCGGGATTGGAGTGATGCAGCTTAAACCGAAAAACCCCACAGCTTGCTGGCAGCCCCCAGGATTAGAATAGGGATGGGAGCACCCTCCCAGAGACTTGGGACAGACTGTGTCTGTCAGGTCAGGACTCCTTGCTATCCAGAGCTGCACCAGAAAAAAAAGAAAAAATCCTGCTGTTTTAAGTCCCCAGCTCATGGTACTGTGTTATGGCAGCCACTCTGTAATCAAAGCATCATGTAATGTTAAGAAGCTGCACTATTTTTAGCCCAGTTCTGTTGCTCCTAGGAAGAAAACACCCTGATTCTGTGCTTCCAGCTGGAGGATGGAAGCCCAGACCCCAGGGAAGAGACCCCTCCTTCTCCCCACCTTCTGGAGAGACCCGCTTGGGATGGGGTTGCCTGGGCAAGTCAGGGCAGACAAGGTCTTTGTTGTTCATTGTTCAGGTCACTAAGTCGTGTCCAGCGCTCTGTGACCTCATGGACTGCAGCACACAAAACTTCCCTGTCCTTCATTATCTTTCACTATGTTTCCCTGGTGGCTCAGCTGGTAAAGAATCCACCTGCAACATGGGAGACCTGGATTCAATCCCTGGCTTGGGAAGATTCCCCTGGAGAAGGGAACAGCTACCTGCTCCAGTATTCTTGCCTGGAGAATCCCATGGACAGAGGAGCCTGGCCGACTACATATAGCCCATGGGGTCACAAGAGTCGGACACAGCTTGGCGACTAAACCACCGCCACCACCATACAGTCCATGGGGTTGCACAAAGTTGGACATGACTGAGCAACGTTCGCTTTCATCTCCCGGAGCTTGCTCAAATTCATGTCCATTGCATCACTGATGTCATCCAACCGTCTCATTCTCTTTTGCCCCCTTTCGCCTCCTGCCTTCAATCTTCCTGAGCATCAGGGTCTTTTCCAATAAGTCAGTTCTTCGCATCAGGTGGCCAAGTTCTCGGCCAAGGGCAGATATGGGCTCTTCCAGCCAAGGTTTCCAGCAGAGGCCTATTTGCCCTAGAAGATGGTCTGGCTCATCCTCCACGGGGGTCTGGGCCACCGGGTAAGAAGGAGAAGGCAGCCTGGTAGATGAACACCCTGACCTGAAAGGCCAGACACACTTGTCCATTGTTCCCAGATGGTGAGGGCCCATTCACCACGTGTGACTTGATTATCATCCAAGTCGTGTCTCACCTTCATTTCAAGCATTCAGAAATATAACCAGTGATGTAAGACATGGCTTCCTGGATCACATTAAAAGGCAAAACATACTGTACACACAATAGCTAATCAGCTACCTCAAGGATGCTGTGATGAACATTCTTTACTGAACGGGCATCTCTCTAAAGGGGACTAATCACGCTGGGTGCTGGTTTGCTAGGGCTGCAGCGATAAAGTACGGTAAACTGGGTAGCTAAAACAACAGAAGTTTAGTGTCCCGGTTCTCACGGCTACAAGGTCAAGATCAAGGTGCTGGCAGGGTCGACTCTCAGGAGAATCTGTTCCAATCTGCTCCTATGTTATGTCCTGTATAATATCTGAGATAATTATTAAGTATAACACTGTTTATCTAGAATTCAGATTTGCCTGGATGTCCTGCATTTTATCCAGCTGCCCTCCACTGCGGGTGTCTCTGAGATGGGATGTCAGTGAAGGACAACGACCTTCACCTACGTGCTTAGACTAGAGGGGAGAAGGCCGGCTCGGGGAGGGTGTAGGACCATCTCTTGGCCTGCAAGCCTGGACGAGAGGCCGAGGCTGTCATTGAGGAGGCTGTGTTCTCTCTCCCTGTCTCTGTCACATACATTCTCTGAGTGCAGATTCACCATCACTTCCTGTCCACCCCATGCCTCCTCCACCTCCAGCATCATCTGCCATCCGTATC